ATTACCCATTTAAGCCGTCTCCAGCCATTATTAGTTTCAAAGTGGGTTCCTCGTCATCGAATTATTTACTTACTTCTGTCTTAGTCGATAAAAACAACTGAAACTATTGAAAGTAATTTTCAAATAGAAAAACCGATTGTTTTATTCTAGGAAAAATGTATTGTTCATACTATTTAAATTACAAAATATGCATACATTTCTTCTCTATGCTGATTTATAGATAAATGTACAATCCATAAGTCAATCTTCTAAAATTCTTAATATCATTATTTTGTATAAGTGGCAGTGTGTAGATTAAATCTTGTGAAAGGTTGGATGACATTTCAACAAAACTAAATTTAATGATGGGATGCATCTCTTTCCAAGACCAGTCTCACCGTTCTTATCATTTTTATTTTCATACGAAAGTTTCCAGGATAACTGATTAGCTTTAAAACAACATAGCAGATCATAAAGCTATGATCAGTATTACACATTCATTAGGGTTAGAATAAAATTAACTTTACAGCTATGTGAAAAGGAAAAAAAAAAAAGCTTCTGTGTCATTAAAAATTAATTGATTTTAAAACAAGTGCAACTATAATATGTATACTTAAACTGTACTTAAAATTCAGGAAATTTACAAACAAGATTGTTTTTTATAACCAAAAATTATATGATATTTATTTAGATATGCATAACTTGAAAACCGAATGTTTAATTTAGTAGTAACTATATAAAAATAAGTTTATTTCTACTCATTTAGTTCTCATCAGTCTTTGATTTTTATGATTGGCCAGCAATATGTTTAGACACATTGTTACCAATAATGCATCATAAATAATTAATTTCCAGATTATGTGCTTAATCAAATGAATATTTTTTTATTTAAATAAAGATGTTATAGTTATATTTCTTATAACTTTCCAGCATGAGCAATGGAAAAAAGGTAGGCCTACTTAGCGTGGACTTTGTAGTTCATGAGATACATGGTAATGAAGATTTTGCATATTCTAACACTGTGGAAAAAGCAGGTTGTTCATGGAAACCTCAGTCCTGGAGTGAGATGATCAAGAAGTGCAACTCTTGTAATCCAGATTCTGCCTGGTCTAGGGAGGTAGTTTTTTTTTACTGTATTTTCTGTTCCTTAGTAATCCAGATTCTGCCTGGTCTAGTGAGGTAGTTTTATTTACTGTATTTTATGTTTCTTAGTAATCCCGATTCTGCCTGGTCTAGTGAGGTAGTTTTATTTACTGTATTTTATGTTTCTTAGTAATCCAGATTCTGCCTGGTCTAGTGAGGTAGTTTTATTTACTGTATTTTCTTTTCCTTAGTAATCCAGATTCTGCCTGGTCTAGTGAGGTAGTTTTATTTACTGTATTTTCTGTCCATTACTTCAAAAATTTACAGATGTAAGAAAAATAATCATATAAATTGAGTTTTTTACTGTATTCAACAGTTGATTGAGAGGCTTTTACAAACTGTAGAGCCATCACTGAGTTAACTGAACACAAAAATGAAAGCTTTAAATTATTACATTATTTCTGAGTTACTAAATGCAAAGGACATGATATGAGTAAAACAATGAAAGTATAAAACAGTATTTTAACTTGTTCAAAACAAAAAATTAATACAAGATGAGAAAGCACTCGAAACCAAAATGCCTAACAATTGTAATACAAATTGCATAAATTTCAGATATTGTTTTCAGGAATCTCTGATTTTAAATCTGAAATTGACAAATTAAGAGAAGTGTTAAAAATATTTGAAGCTTACATGATTTTGTCACAAATATTAAGCAATTAGCTTAACTAAGTTTGCACATAATTACTTTTGATGATGAATTAAAACCAATTAACAAAAACATTTTGTGTTCAAGTTCATTTGATTCAAAACCTCACAGAGCTTTAAAGATTTCATTTAACTTTTTTGTTCATATATATATATATGAATAAATATAACTTTTAATCACATCTATAAAGGATAACATTTCAAGTAAGAAAAGGTTGTTTTTTGTGGCATGTTCCATAATACAGTTACTAAAATCGTATTTTCAGATCCTCAACAATTACAAACATCTCTAAGCTTCCTTTCATTATTTTCATACTTAGTTAATTACTCATAATTTTTGAAGAAACAAAAAACGAAGATAATATGAAGGTGTATTTCCAAGTTGTTTTTGTGATGATAAGTTCAATTCTATGTTAGAGAGTTTTAATTTTTCTTACTATGGAAATGTATAAGGAAGCATTTTTATGCTAAATATCTGAAAATAATATAAAGTTGTTTGGAGAAAAAGTGATGAATGAAAGTGCTGAGCACAGCAGCTACAAACTATAAAACTTGTACTAACCAAATTAAGGCTTAGGTGAAATAATGGATTGCATTTCATTACCTGATGGGTAATAAGCCATACAAGGAAGTAAATATCAAATGAAGAATCACTAAAAGTCTTCAGGGCAGACCTCTGACTTTCCAAACTTTTATTCACTGCTAATTACTAGGAAGCAAGAGACATGGGTAAGACTACAGTATTTGTATAATTGGGGCTTTTTCCTTTAATTGACTCATTTTTTTAATTGGGAGTTTCTGTTTATATAGTAGAAGGGACTGACATAACACACTGGTTTGAGTGTAATTTATCTGTATTTATTTTTATTTAATTTGAATTTTTAAGTAGTGTACAGTGTTGGCTTACTAAAATGCATACTCAGCAGAATTAATTAGCTTTTGTATAACTCAAGTTTTAAAAGGTGAATTGTATTTTTGTACACTGTAATTAGAGTAAAACATGCCTGCAGTTGCATACATTATTGCCATTGTAGATGTTGGATTTATGACAGAGAAGATACTGAAGGAATTGGTGACAAATGAGAAAATCAGTGAAAAAAAGATAACTTCAATTTAGGATGGAGAGTAAAGAGTGCTTGCTGTTACTTGTGCTTATGTTATAGGATAAGTCTCCCCTACAGAACACATTGATGTACAATGTGGTATGCTTGGATCCATGTGAAATGGCCAAGGATCAGGAATCATGTATGAAAAAGCTTAAAAAAGGTACCACAAATTCTTGCTGATGAGAACAGCTGTGATGACATACTCGGGCAGAACAGGCTGTACATCAGTGACACTGTAAATAACAGAAAATTAGAATTAACAGATTTTGATTATGCTAAATGTAGGGTGGATACCGTTTTCTATGAAATAATGGTAGGCAGCAATGCATTTAAAATGTTGTGCAGGTCTTGCTACTTCTGTCACATGGGAATGCCTCAGTGGAGAGTGGCTTTTTAGTGAATCATCAGATTGAGGTTGAAGATCTTCAAGAGGAAATATATGTATGTAACCTTTTATGTAACCATCTCAGTTCAGTTGGGGGGATGCAGAACATGCAGCTGGTGCAAGGCAACAGTACTATACCTACCTGAAGGAGGAAAAGAGATGCAAGGAAAACGAAAGCAAAAACCACTCCTGGATGAAATTGATGAATTAAAGAAAAAGAAACACCACATTGAGAAAGATGTACATGCTCTTGAGAAATCAACTGATGAATTGGCTTTGAAGGCTGAAAGCACATGAAAGCTGACCTTGATTGCTAAATGAATCAAACAGTTTGCTCTGATTGGCTGAAGACAAACTTGCAAGTCTGCAACCTGTAAAAGAAGAACTGGATGAAAATATCAAAGAACTTAAAAACATTTAAAAAACAACAGCAATACACATTGTAATGTAATGTGAAACTAGAATTTTATAAACTTCCTGCTCATTAGCAGGCATGTCTGCATGGCACTAAATGTAAAATATGAAGAAAACACGTTCTAATTTGATTTTCTGCATGCTGTCCGAAAGTAAAATGAAAATGAGATAGCTGACAGGTAGGAGGCTTGTAATTACACAATTGTACTTGACATGATAACATAGCCTGCTTGTAACTTGTGTTTATTTAGTTTTTCATAATCATAGTCATCATTAATATAACAGAAAAAGCACACATTCTTATTCAATGTAGGTCTTATAAGAAACTAAATTGAGATGGTTGATAGGTAGGAAGCTTGTAACTGAACAAAGTCATAGAAAAGTCATGGAATTCTTCTTTGACCAAATTGTATGAACCCTGGATAACATCTGTTCTCACTGATTATTGTGATACATTATTGGTGAATATAAATTATTTTAATTTTCTAGCCATGCTAAACTAATATAAGATACATTTCACCCAACTATACAATTCATTTCATGTCCTATGTATCTTTAATTCTCAACCTGTAGTATGTCCTGCAATATATATATGCAAGTTAGAATATATCAGCAGGTGTTGTCTTAGCATCAAACAGGATATTCAAATCTTGTCCTTCAGTCTTTGAAACTGATGTAGTTGAAGAGTGATAACAACTGTTTTCACTAATTATCATGAGATATTATTGAGATTTCAGCTATAAGTATCCATAACATCGAGTATACCCAACTGATGAATCAATGCATTCTAATCATAATTATAAGTTTTTGTTTTGAGATGTCCACACTCCTAGTTATATTGGTCTATTAAATAGCTACATTAATTTTTAGTTCTGACTTGTCCAGCTAGCTCTCTTTGTTCAGAAATTATTTTTATGCTCCAAAATTCAATTATTTTATACTAGGAATATTTTGGATTTTAGTTTTTAATCTTATCCCAATTTTACTTTGTTGGAAAGCTTTCACCTTGCAATATAAAAAATCTATGATAAATGTTAAGGATTTTTCACCTTTCAGAAGCCTACATTGCTTTAAGTCTTAGAGAGTTAATTACGACCCAAATAAAGAAGGAAAATTAGGTATATCCTTTATTGTCATACTTTACAGCTAGTTAAAAACTGCTATCTGTTATTAAACCTAACAAAATCTTTGTACATATACATCCTGTATTCAGTTAAATATAGCTGTAATATAGCATTCTGATACGTTAAGCTTTTTTGATTATATATAAAATTTGTTAAAATGTTGTGCTACTTGGTACTTTCACACATTTACATCTTATTAAAAATAATGGCACTGTAAATGACCATCAGTCAATTTTACAAATTTTCTTCAACAGTCATTATCACGAATCACCTTCATTCTTGGGCAACACATACAGAATTAATTACCCAGTATAGCTAGCTCAGAGGTTTAATAAACCTTTTAGCTTGGGGTAAAAAAGTTTTATGTTTATTAATATCTTATTCTACTTCAAATATATTTTACAAATTAGAACTATCAAAGCTGCTTTGTGGAAGGACCAGAATCCCAACTTTTAAGAGATGCAGACCTATCAATTGAGTATCAGGTTTTGAATAGTGCTGCTGATAACAAACTTTTGTGGAGTTCTGAATCTGCTAACTTTTATGTTTTTGAGGCAATTGTCATGGATTCAAATTTGAGGTTAGTGCAAATGATAGAAATTAAAAAAAAATTATTTAGCCAACACTTGACTTTAAAAATGTCCATTTAAAGAAAATTATGTTAAGCATGTTTATTCAGTGTGTATGTTGCATTGTAAGTACTAAAAATTACAAAATGAAAATTAGTGGGTCATAAAAGTCTCGGAATACTTTGCTTGTTTTATGTAAAACAAATATATCACAATATATCTCTGCCAATTGGGGTATGGAAAAAGAATTATTATCTGTGATGCGACTCAAAAATATGTTTATACAAATAAAGAAGTGCATATGTTGTTAGCTGTATTTTCAATGTTATGATTTAGTTGTTTGCTGGGGGGCCTCATCATTTTTGATGATGGCAATAACTAGAAACAAGGGTACATCCTTAATAAATATCAGTAACCAGTTAGCAAAGAGTAGTGAGCAATGAATGAAAGATTAATAAGTTATTGAATATTCTACGAGTGTTTCATTTCAGTGTTAGACAGCAGAAGTTATTGTATCTATCAAGGACTGGCATGGCCAGGTGCCTAGGACACTTGACTTGCAATCTGTAGGTCACAGGTTTGGATCCCCATTACCAAACATGCTCGTCCATTCAACCATAGAGTTTTATAACGTGACAGTCAATTCCAGTATTCATTGATTAAGAGTTGGTGGTGTTGACTAGCTGCTTTCCCTGTAATCTATCACTGCTAAGTTTGAGAGAACTAGCAGAGATAGCCTTCAAGTAGCTTTGCGTGAAATTCAAAACAAAATAAACAAAGCATCTTTCAATTAATCAGTAAGGAAATTCTGTAAGTTTTGTGTTTTTTAGTTAGACACAGGTAACATCAGTATTGTTGTAATTTTGATTTTTGCTAGGGGGGGGGCTGCTAATGATTATGATATAGTAATAATCAAGAAACTTTGACTAATATCTAAATTGTTACATTAGTTATCAATACAAGTAATGAAGGAGCAGTTAGTTCTGTGTTTAAGAATTCAGTGAAATATTCAATAGTTGTTGATGGAGAGAAATTAGATCAAGTAAAGTTATTCAGTAAGAGTTAATACGTAAGTTAAGTGCTTTGGTTTTGTATGAATTTCATACAAAGCTACTCAACGGCTACTGTGCTGGCTGTCCCTAATTTTAGCAGTGAAAGACTAGAGGGAAGACAGATAGTCATCACCACCCACTACCAACTCTTGGACTACTCTTTTACCAACAATTAGTGGGATTGGCCATCACATTATAATGCCCCCATGGCTGAAAGGGCAAGCATGTTTGGTGGGATGGGGATTTGAACCCATGATCCACAGATTAGGAGTCGAGCTTCCTAACCACCTGGCCATGTGTAGATTAATTAGTCACCATTTGTTATCATTCAAGAAAATTTCAGTGTATTAAGCCTACAGCTTGCATCAAAGTGAATATAGCCTGTAGCAAATAATATTTAGGAACAAATAAATTTTTATGATTATGTGCACAGGACTTACCATTATTGTTTACCAAATGAACCCACCCAATGATAGGATGTGTTACAACACTGGTGTCAGAAGAGGGAATATTTTGGTGAAAATAAAATTGAACTTTGACTAAACTTTACCCTCACAATTATGACAACCCAATTACAAACTGAGAATGAAACATTATTAGAAATAATGAAAAATTTAAAAGTAGAATAAGAAAGTAGATCAAGAGAATAATTAAAAGAAAATATATAATGTTTAGAAATGAAAATAAATGTGTTGTGGAAGTACAGAGGGATTACAACAATAAGACTGATGAAATACAGAAAAGGATGAAATTACAAAAATGAAGATGTGCAGAAAAAATTATAACAGCAAGATCAGTGAGGTAGAACATAACATCAAAGATAGAATAAGATATTTGGAAAATAAGTTGATAAATGGAAAGATCAAAATAGCCATGTATCCTTTCTACATCTACCTAAGAATTCCAGTCTAAAACACCATTTACTACAAAATATGGAATATACCTGTTTGGTTTACAACTATGTCTCTATCATATATAGTTCTAGAATTTAGCTGGGCAGTTTAACATTGTCCAATTGAGAAACCAATGGAAAGGTACTATGGGAGGCTTATCAGGTTCAGTTTGAAATAACATCCAGAATAAAGAGGCAAAATAGTGAACAACAAGCTATTCATTTTGCTGTCCATTTAAAAGGACCAGTTTTAATGGCATTAGTAGCTGCTTTATCCAACAGGTTCACAGTGACATATCAGAAAGAAGTGTCCAAATCAGTTAAATCAGTATTATTGTGTGGATTAAATTTTGCATTATTTTTATGAAATAATTCAATAGAACCCAACCAATGATAGAACATAGTACAACATATATAGCTTTTATACTTGGATTTGTTAAATACTAAAATATAAAACAAGGTTATTACATTATTATTATACACTATTAGCACTGATTAAGGAAAACCTGGAAAGTCCAGAAACTTATAAGCAAGTCCTGGTAAATGATGATATTTAAAATATTAAAATGGTCTACTTCATATTGGATTATTTTTATAATGTCTTGTTTTCAGTGTGACTTGCCATTTTGCAATCATTCGTAGGCTAAGGTACAATGCTAAAATCTGGGATGCAATTCCCCATGGCAGACATAGCAGATAGTTCAATGTGGCTCCATTATAAAACAAACAAACGCTTTGTGGGGTTCTGTTGCAGTTCCATGTGTGTTCCTATATATATATATATATATATTCAGTGTTATCATTTCAGTCTTGTGAGTAATGTTAAAAGTAATTATTAAATAAATTAAACATAATGGTCTTTACAAGTGTTAAACACAATAACACTGTTAAAATGGTTGTGTGTTCTCCACTAAAACATGAAATTCTATGTATGAAATCTATTGTTTAAGAACTAATTAGGTCAGAAAAATGTCAGTTACCTTTTTCCTTGTCTATGCACTATTAGTAAATTATGTATCGAGATATAACATCTAAATTTTGCTATATTATTGTGGTATGTTAATATAACCATGCATTTATGTCTTCTCTGTATTATCATATAGTATTATTCTAAATTTATCAGTTACTTTTGAGTATGTGCACATTTCACACAACTCATGACTGAGAATGCTGCTACGTGGTTTCACTCTAGCTGACTTTATTATTCTTAAATAGATAATGCCTGTATGGGGGGGTATTACTGCCATTCTGCAGTTTGTGCAAGGATATTGAAGCATCCTTCAATGGTAGTCAGATAATATCTCGAGGTCAAAGCCTCACCTATGTTTGATTAATAATGAACAGTCACATGAAAAATGCTTATCATTCTGGGTAAATACAATGTTTTTTCAAAGTAAGGAATGTTGGATTTAGTTATTATGGTACATGGATTCAGCTTGAGCAATTTAACTAAAAGCAAGTACACACACTATGTTTTACATGTGAGATAAATAAATACTGTTCATTTAGTGTTTCATTTTGTATCCATTCTCATGACTTGGTTACTCATAGATATAGCATTTCTCTGTAAGTAGTATCTTAACCAAATCTCCTGTTATTAAGTGGAATTATTCAATCATCCGTAAGTTTCTCTGGATATACGGTGTGGAAAGTATTAGCAGTTTTTCTAACAATTCCTAAACAACCATGGTAAAACAAAATTAGGATCAGTTTCAACTGTTTTTTATACAGTGTTGAACCTAAATGGATAAGAGAAATATTAACTGACTTTAGCCACTTTTCAGTAAATATTCATTTTAATGTCACTGTACGAGATTATTATCATTATTACTAAAAGTTAGCACATTGATCATACTTTCAAGTGAAACACAAAAATATCAGCATTTCTCTTACATTGGACATCTACATTAGCACTGGTGATAAGAACCAAAGTATAAAAATGGTAGGATTTTAAAAAAACATTCCATACTTGTGTTCATGAGGGAAAAATAATTGTTCCTTTCCAATGGAAAATTTAACTTAAAACAAAATATAATAGTTTTTCCTTCTTAGATTTTGTCAATGAAATTAAGCTATTGCAATTAAACTTCACAAGCCTACCTGTAAAACAAAATATAAACTATCAGAAATTAATATTAACTTCTGATCAGTTATCTATTTAGATTGAAACTAAAATTTAACCTAATATTAGTAATAATTAGAATGCATTTTTTCATCAGTTTGGTAACTTTAATGTTAATAATATTTTCAGGCATAATCCCAATAACATCGCACAAAGTTTGGCCAACTTTGGAAATTAAGGTTAGGCCTAAATACATATTAAGCTAGCATTCCAAAAACAGTCTTTATAATAAAAGTATAATAATAAAAATAAAATTAGATGTATTAAACATTCTAACAAATACTGTTAATGAAAGTAGTAATATAGAAAAAAATATAATATACCTTACCTACTCAATATAAAAACACCATCAGTCAGTCCTCCACTCTGCCAAACACACCCATAAAAAAAAAAAAAGTAGGGATTTGTCTTCATCTCACTGGACTTCAACTTTTTCAATTTTGGGTGATTATAGACTCAGAAACTTTCACAAGTAATGGCTATTAATGTTCTGATTTAAATATTGAAACTTCATCTTTGCAGAATCAACATTGTCTTTCTAAATCAATGTATGTTCGAGATCATATGTTGATTTAAAAAGAAATAATAATAATCTAACTTGTTTTTTGACTAATGATGCATAAAAATTCGAATCTATTAGTTATCAAATTTGTGAAACAAAATTCATAAATGTAGATGTATTCACATTATACTGTGAATTGTTTCTGTGTGAAACATTTGAAAACGTGTTAATTTTTTCTTTTGTAATAAAAAAATTAGTATATCATAAAAGTATATTTTTCATATGCTTTTATAGTCTTAGGTTTTAAAGGAATGTTAACTGTTTGTTCCAGTAATTTATTTTTATCTTTACAGTTACTGTGACCTTCGAACTAAGTTTGCTGTTATAATTCATGGGCTTCCAGTCAAACACATATTGCCTACTCTTGTGATCCTATTTTCCACTTTGATTTATTTATCTATCAGTATATTAGTATGCTTCTGCATTCATTACTATTCTCTGAAATATAAACTTGGAGTGGAAAAAAAGCTGCAAATCATGGATGAAATACTAAAGCAAAAGGAAAAATAGATGCTCCACTAAATCAAATTTTAATTAACTGCAAGTGCTGATTTTGTTAGTTTGAGTCGCTATCATACATGTGAAATATAGTTACTTCTTTTAAAGCTTTTTTTTTCTCTTTAAGTTAAAACAATATTACATAATGGGATTAAGACTGGTGGTAAATCTGATAAATAATAAAGTATGTACCTTCATAATAATCTACAGTAATTCCTTAAATAAGCATAAAATGATTTAAATATATTGTCATAACTATTTGTTTTGCACTGATTAGTTGCTCCATCAGGGAGGGACTGATGGAATATATAGTTGTTCAAAGCTTAAAAGGTGTTGTACTACTTTTTCTTGTTTAAACAACTTACTAATTTCTTAAACTTATTTAGTTTTCAGAAGTTTTTAAACTATAGCTATTTAGACTTGACATAACTATCTCAGATGCCTAAGATTAATGTTTAAAAAATATGCTAGAAATTTCACTTCAAGCTAGAAAACATAGTACATATTAATAATAATTCATACAAACTTCTTGCACTGATATTCTGTACAAAAAGTAAAATAAAATAGTTCCAATTGAATGTATATTGGATATTTTTTGACTAACACATACTGGATATTTCTTTGACTAATATTTCAACATCATGGTTTTTTTGGCAATTTTGTAATTGGTCTAAACAGTGAAAAAGCAATTTTTTATAAATAATTAGATTCACATTAGAAAACATGTAACTGCTTTCACCACAGTGATGTTTTTTTTTTCTTTTTTCTCTTTAGTTGGCAACTTTTGAAAGTAAAGATAAGTACAGTATTTTCCATAAATAAAGTGTACCATGGTGAATTTAAAAATGAAAAGGTTAGAATCTGTTGTAAGTGTTTAGACTTTAGTAGTATCTCAAAAAATCAAATCTGTAATCTTTCTTCTTGAAATGAAGCATCAAGATGAAACATATAATACTTTCTTATTACTACATTTTACTGTCTAGGAATCCCACAATCAAACTGTAAATATTTTAGATACAAAATATGGCACAATATAAGTTTCTTTCAGTTCATTAATAATAAGAGAAGTGCTAACATCCTAGAAATCTCCTCATTCTTCACTACCCTCCGCTTTCTACTGACCTTTGTTACTAATGGCTTTTTTCACCATCCTTTGCTTTGTATTAATGTATATTACTAATAATGTTCTTCACTATCCTCTAATTTCTATTGCTATATATATAAATATATATATTACAAATAACATTCTTTACCATTCCGTGCCTTCTATTAATGATGTTCTTCACTTTCCTATGCTCTCTATTGACATATGTTACTAATAACATTCTTCACCATTCTCTGTTTTCTATTGACAATGGAATTTTCTTTATCACAGTTCCTTGAAGAAAATGCCATTGTATATTTTGATACAGTGTTTTATTAAATCCTATGAAAGACATCTGGTAGATACAAAAATAAAAAATACATTTTAATCATCTTGAGAGCAATAATGTTGCTTTGTAAGTGTTATGTCAAGTTCCTCCTTTAATTTACAAAGTACTGACAATTTTGACAATCTACGAAAACCTCAGTATCCAATTCTCTGACGATCCATTAAAACCTTAAAATAGAATATTCACTGAAATCTGTCATTCAGATAAGATATTGATTGGCTTACATTAAAAATATTTAGTATATTTTTTTTTATTATAGTCATAAAACACTGGTAATAAACAGTACTTAGTGGTATAAGCTCATACCTAGCATAGTATACCAAATGTATTAAACTTGAAGAGGCAGTGAAATGTTCATCAAACTATAAATAATTAATTTAAAAATCTTAGTTATATCAAGATGAAAGAAACATTATCAAATTGTAAATAAAAAAAAATTGTCATAATAGAAGTAACTTAAATGTTATTCAATGAAAACAAAGTTAAATATTTTTTAAAGCTATCATATGGGATTTAATGTTAAGCAACTTTTAAACCTTACTTTATGTACTCAAAAGTTTTATTTAAAATGCTGTTGGTATAATTTCCAGAGTATTTAACAGATGAGCAGTGTGAAATTCACAACTTAGAGGGTATAAATTTCGATTTTTATTGGTAGCATAAAGTACTTAATTACAATGAGATATCTGGGGAGTCCAATACTATATTAAGCAGTCTGTATAAGACTTACACCTTTGTCAGCCAGCTTAATACAATCCCAGCTCTGGTTGAAGCTACCCAAGACCAGTTGAGACAGACTGGAAGTGCTGTTCATAAACAAAATCTTCCAGTCAGAGCTTTTTCACCAGCAGATGAAGATGGTAAACAATGGGGCAAACATTAGACTTTTGGAGCTGGAAGGTATCCTGCCAGGACAACTACGGATCATGAACTGCCTGCAAACAACTCATTGCTCTGTCACTCACTGACAAGTCTGAGTGTCTGGATCCTAACACTGTACCCCTGATGTTGAGGGTATCTCAGCCAGGTGTTGGCCAAGAATCTGTAAGGGAGAAGCTTTGAATACAACCACAGATCCCTGTGATTTAGGTGAAGCAGATCTTGCCTGCAAAATTCAAGAGTGTGGAGAAAATAGATCTTGATTGCTTCCAGTACAACATTTGATCTTGAGTTTGGACAGTCCAGGTCTTGATTCTTTTGAACCATTGAATGATACACAACTTTGGGAGTGGTAAACAGCCATTGCTGGGGGTGGTTCAGTGCAGTAAAAAATCAAACAATCCATTAGGCCGAGTTTAAGGCTTGGAAAAAGGATGGTGCCGAAAACTTGAATGCTTGCATGGATGACCTGCACCATTTACATTTTAAGGCTTATTCTGCAATGGCCTAAGTGAATTGTGAGGATAATCTCATTGATAACTTCATCGAGGGGCTACTCAGTAGAATAATGAAACATCACTTGGGTGTCAGAGTTATTTTCTCCCTTACAGTGGCATTTTATGTAAAGTTATAAGGTGGTAACTTTAAGCCAGTTGCAGAAGAGGAGAAAGCCTGCTGTGAAAATACCTCAAACAGACCATCCTTCCAAAGTACCTGCATTATGTCAAGCCTGATCTGGATTCTAGTGAACAGGTCGAGCTAACTACTTCTCCCATGGTGTTCATGCCTTTGCCTATGAAGCCCCTGCCCAAACATCACTCAGAATGGGAGAAATAAATATATACTTCAGATGTAGTGACTGCTCATACCTTGCCATGCAGCAAGGTTATGGGTTTCAACAGATGGCACAGCAAGTGGTAGATGCTGCTGATGCTCCACCTATGGGAAACAAATACAGTTCAAGTTGGGCCTGGCCACTAACTGAAGGAGTGCAACAAATAGCTATGTCAAAAGGTTTGGTAGTTATCCCAATTATCAGAGTTGGTCTGGAGCTTTGTACATGCTTTTCAAAGTACACAGATAAGAGATAGTTCCTTGTTAATACATGAGTGGCCAGGGCATTGGAAGATCTTATGGTATATCAGGCACTCCTAGCAAAGCCACCAATTCAAAAAGTTGACACTGAACTTGTTCTGAGAAATGGAGATAGACCAGACTAGATGTGAATGGAGAGTCATATCTCTTACTGTGTCTAGTAGGAATTGCTGAAATAATGAAGGTAGACACCTGTTCTGGCACTGGCAACCTTGAGAAGTACTTCCTGCAGAGACTATTAGTCAGTTTTGCCTGTGCACTCAGTGAACTGATGTTTCACAGGAGAGTTATCCAATGCTGACCATGGACTGCATGAGTGTATGTGGTGGAGAGAATTATAGTACCTCCGTATATACAAGTGATGTTTCATAGTTTACTGCTAATGGGATCTAGTGCAGGGATGCTGTATAATGTTGTTATAGAACTCACACAAGAAATTCACCATCTCTTGTCCTGAAAGCAAGTAGCATTAGTTGTTCTGCTAGTATGAAAAATCAATTATTCAGCTTCCAGCTGGAATGGTCATCAGCATGGTAAGAAAGGTGGATGTGACTGAGGCTAATGGTGATGCTGGGTTGCAACAGTTGGGTCATGTTTAAGAGTGAGTACATGACTGCCCAAACATCTGAACTTGATAGTTGAGAATTATGAAAACAATATGGACTCAGTATAGTGGTAAAATTTCAGTGACTTGGTTAAATATGCTTAAGTATTTGGGGGAGCCAGATGGCCAATTTTGTCAAATAATAGTAAATTACTATCACATAAACACAAACAACACACTTCTGATTAAACAACCACTGTGCAGGCTTCCCTGTAGCATTAAGGATGTAACCACTGCTGAAACAGAGCAGAATCATACAGCATTTAAAGGTTCTGTGTTGACATTAGATGGGTGAATACAGTAACTTGCATTGCTGCCTTTCCGATGTTGTGGACAGAATAATGTCTGGATACATTGGAAGGTGACCAATGGTTCAACATCTTAGACCTGACATCTGGATACCAGCAAGTCAAAATGGATGACAAGATTAGGCCCAAAATTTCTTTCAACACTTGGTATGTACGAGTTTCACATAATGCCATTCAGTTTATGTAATTTGCCCACTACGTTTTAGAGGCTAATGGAGCTTTCACTGAAAGGGCTGCTGTGGGAAAGATAGTCTATGTTGATGGTGTTTAGCCATGCTTTCATGTCTGCTGCTGAAAGACTTGTTTGTGGTACTTCAACAGAGAAGAATGGCAGGTATGAAGTTGAAATCAGGGAAATGTGAATGTAGATGCAATTTTTTTATCATATTGTGAGAAGAGATTGAGTTTCTATCAACCTTGCAAAGATCATAGCATTACAGGATGCCTCAACCTGTGATTAAATGACAAGTCTGCAGTTTCCTTGGTTTAATGTGTTACTGACAATTTGTTGCCAACTTATTCAAGATCATAAGATGTGCTTTACAATGGAAACTATGCTGCTAGACTATTGTCATGATGAGTGATCATCAAATAGAGTATGACAAAACATGAGGACATGGTGTGTAACGATGTGGTGAGACTCCAAAATCATTTTAATATAACATACTCAACTCTCTGTATAAAAAAATGACATTTTCAAAACTTGTAACCTAATATTACATAAAGTTAAGAATAAACATAACATAAAACAACACCAATTTTAAACTTATCTTAACCAAAGACCAGTGCCCAATCCAGGAGAAGCCTATACTCTCCAATAAATAATGTAATAATACTAGTCACACTAATAGGTTTAACTGCTGTGGTATGCAAATATTACATACCTTACTCATTAAAAATGTATATTTCTAATCTACAACATTTCATTTTTTTTAAGTTACGATTTACAACATCCTAAATCTGGTAGAATTTGTGTTAAATACAGCTTGAGGCATTACCTTTTGTAGCTTGACTAGTCAAGGTGCTGATCTGTTGTCTCTTGGGATAGTTGCATTGTATCCTATTGACTGTGTATGGGGATATCTTGAAAACGTCACCATGCTATTTGTCTAATTTGTAAGCTTAAGAGAGAATGGGTATTGTGTGTAGCATAGTTTTGGAATTTTCAGATTACACTCATTCCAACCACTGAGGGAGACAGTTCATTTTCTGATCAGGAGAGTAAACACTTGCTGTTCAAGTTCCATCATTGTTTCAATGTGTTTTCTACTTGCTGATTGTGTCCATTTTAACTTTAACTTTATTTTACTCTCAAATTAAGTTAATTTCAGCATACCTTAATTCTCAATACAGTTTACTCTGTTTCTTCTTTTCCTTACTCGTAAAGCAATACTAAATACAGCATTTCAATCTGCCATTTTTCACATCCATTCAGACTTCAATACTGTACCTTATCTTTCATTTTACCTGCAACAAATTGCTTCACCTGCCCTTCTGCTTCTTAGATCCACAAATCTCCTGTTTTCATTGAGAATAAGCAACCGTGGTCTAGGTTTATCCTTGAATTACCACACTGCTTATTAGTTTATACCTATTTGACTCTCTTGAATAGTGTCTTAAAACATTATCTGTCCATACCACTGCTGAGAAGGCAAGCAACATAGCCAGCAGTCCAATGGTCTTGATCACTAGCAAAGATGGATGGAACAATAGGAATCATTTAAGGCTAAAAATGAGGAAGTAAAAAAAAAAAGTAGGTGATGGTGCTTTATGGTGTTATTTAGGTGACTGGCTTCACCGAGCCAGTCTTTCTCTCTTACCAGCCTTGAAGAGAGTTAGCTCAGAATTGTCAGTACATAGAATGTAACTTTTGTTTGGATATAGGGATTGTGGTTAATGATAACAAGATAGTTGAATGTTTTATTAGCAAGTATTATTTTAATACAAAACTGTTTAGTATTTGAGATTTTAGATTTTGAGATAGGAATAATTTTTCGTATGAAATTCCATTTTATAATGTATGTACATATCTCTTGTATTTGTATGCACTTTAAGAGAATGTAAGCTGGAGTTTAACCAAGAAATGTGTGAAAGGGGTACCACTAAAATTTTGCATTGTCATTCTTCTCTGCTGAGGACCACAAGGTCTATTCTCACTTTTAGGCTTCAGTCTACTAGGTTTTTGCTCCATTATGTTACAAATCACCTTTTTAGGGATAATCATAAATTAAGTTTTCCATATTATTGGCATAAATAAAATCATTAGGCAAATTTGTCTTATACCACCTACAATAATAAAAAAACATTAAATGACAAAGTACCCCCCCCCCCAAAAAAAAGACCAAGAGACAACCACAATAAACTCATCATCCAAAGCGACCTTTACAAGTTCAAAGGTAACCCAGATGAAATTAATTTCATACATTATATATAGCATGTATAGAAAAGAATAATAAAATCATATAAATAAAAATGTTTCTTAAATAGCTCAAATTCACTGGACTATAATATTTACTTCATTATGCTCACATAGGTTCTTTTACCTTTGACCCCCATATTTCAACCAGACCTTAACTTGTACTGATTAGATATATGTATGCCATGAAGTATTGTATGAACACATTTTTCTGTTAAATAGTTTGAACACACAAAACTACGGATTTGGTGTCAAGGTAAATGATGAAGAAATTCTGGTATTTTTACTTTGTCCATTAATAATTCATTTTTTGTTCTTCCCAGAAATAATACTGTAAAAAGTTAAATTATTCAAATATAATTATATTGTTATTAAATTATTTTATAGTTGGAGTAGACAAACATACTAAAATGACTTCTGACAATCATCTTATCTGTATATGCAAAAATATGTTTTGTACACAACAGCACCCTCTGTGGAAAAAATATCAATTATCTGAATACTTTGTTTCTGTGACCCCATTGATTTGAAATTGTTGTAAATTTTTTTTTTTATATGTATTTCAATGATTTACTACTTGAATACTAAATCTGTTTTTATTATCGATCTTACCTGTCCTCCTTTACACATTTATGCACTCAGGATATTTACAGGAAGAATAGAATAAAACTTATTTGAATATGTTTTTTTTTAAATAGACACAGAGTTGATATAAATGTAAACAACTTTTTAATGTAATATGTCCTATGTGGCAGTTTATGATGTCTATATGCAGCTCTCTTCCACATGATATAAAAAGTATATTACAAGTGTATTCAGCTATATTTGAAACTATATAATATCTTATGAATTTTAAAATTCGTTAATAATCTACAATTCTGTTGGGGCTTTTTGGTATGTGAGCCTTTTAGTAATTTTCAACTACTTTTACTTAAGACTATTTTGAACAAATACAGCACTCACTTTTTTTTATTTTTAGACATGACTTAAAATTCAAATGTTTACAGAACCTGTAAGGACACGTTACTTTTATAGTTATCTTTTATTTACTTTAAGTCTGTATTAACTTAGAAGCCTTTCTAATAACCTGTATAACATATTAATTATATAGATATTGCAGTTAGTTTATATTTTTACCTGATGGGGAAGTATTAAAATAAAACATGCACAAGATATAACACTCATTCAATGCCAACTAGTTAACCTGAAATGGGCAAAACAGTCCTGATGTGTGTATAAATGGTTTGCAAGTTAACTCGAAAGGCTTAAAATGAGAGTAAATGAACATAAATTCATGTTTGATGTGAAAATAGAAACAGCTAAGAAAGTTAAAAGTGCTTTCTGATTCAGTTCACATTCATTCTGGATGAAAACTTACCCTGTAGTAAAATATTTTATCAAAGGGTTTTAGATGGATGTAAATCAACTGTTTCCTTTTCTTTACTAAATTATAATCTGACATCAGGGAAATGGAAACTGTTTCTATGTTCTCAATAAAATAAAGGCTCTTTACAACTACCAAAACTGTTTTAATTATATAGTTTACCAATGTAGCACAGATATGTAAGTACAAAAACAAATTTCACAAGATAATTTAAAATCTTATGAGAAATACAAATGTAAGACCCATTACATTAATGATATTGATTAAACTGTTTTTTGGAAGCAACATATATCTAAACCAAATAGCAAAAAAGAAACTTGGTTGTCAACATTAAGCTGCTCTTATAGAACTTTTGGTACATATAGGATGTTGCATTGAACTCAACAGAATTATAAAGATTAGAGAAATTTTTAATTTATGTGATGTCTCAAACATTAGTTGCCTGAACACATTCTGTAAATGTGTATGGAAACTGACTTCTAGGACAAACTATATAGTAATAATGGAGACTGATATAATTCATACTTTCAGAGATCAGTATTGCTGAGCTTTTATAGAGAACAGAGAGAACATTAACTATGCCCTGAAAAGTAACTGCAAATACTATCTTTCAGTCTAAAATATATCTGAAAGACTGAAGGATCTCCCATATACTATCACAGGGAAGGGGGTGGTCCTGTTTATAAAGTAAATGCATGACTTTGAATCACCTTATAGGTTTAAAAAACAATTGGAGGAAAAAGAAAACATTGTACAAAATGTGCAGTACAACCACTGAAGGAAATGTTTGCACTGATGCTTTTAGTTTAATTGTAATACTTTATGTACATGTCAAATACATGCAATTAATAACAAGGCTAAATTGTCAACATTAGATTATAACTATGGGTCATATATCTATCTGATCAGCTATCTCTGAAAATCTACTACAGTTAAAATTGTCAATTCCATAAATCTGGCTAATGAGCTTGTTAAGTACAGGAGTGCTATAAATTTTACATACTAGCTAATATGTTTTCACTGACCTGCTACAATCATTTCCTTTTTGTTTTTATTATTTAGAAAAAAATAAACAATATTAATTAACTTTGAATGCATCTTACAGACTGGTGGAACACAATAATCTGTATTATGTATCCATAGAGAGCTTTTGATAAATACCTACAACAACTATTACAGAAACCTAGTGTGTAAAAGAAATTCCATTCATATATATAGAATTTTAAACCAAGATATCACTACCAAATTGATGACACATGCATCCTTTTGCAATCTGAAAACGAAATTGTTATTTAAAGGTATGTCTGGAAAACCTTCCTTCTGAATAGGTCACAAGGCTTAACAACACTAAAGTTAGAAAGCATTAAGTAGGCTTTTAGTTCATGGCAGGCCTATTTGCATTTGTTACAGCCATACCATGTTTCTCTGTCTCATTTACACCTAAGTATTTTTTTAAAATGTTTTCAAGAGTATTACCAAAACAATTGCTACTGATAATCACTACTTGTAGGTTAACAAACAAGTCTGATACTTTCAGTCATCCACACAAATTTCTCAAAATTCATGCCTTAGTCATTATACCATCATGTACAGATCTCTAAAAGAATGAAATACACGAAAGACGTTTTCACAAATTATACTGAAACTAGTTAAAATGGAAGAAACATGTACTTCCAGTGGTTTTATAAATATACACCTACCTTTGACTGCATATCATTCAACATCAATGAAACTTCTTGAATATCCAAGTGAACTTTTTTTTTATTTATTTTTTTTCTCTTAAAAATATCAGCTGTCAAGCACAATTATGTTAAAATAAAATGCAAAGTATTAAAGTAAGGATAAATGTAATAACAATTGCACATAATAAAAATACTACCATGAAGTTTCACTTGATATTACTAAATAATTTTAACCAAAAATGACAAGCCACTACTTAAAAAATAAGACCAAAAACAAAATACACTTTCATACGATCAGAACTATAATAGTCAGAACCATAAAATCAGCAGAAAGTGTAAAATATTAATAAATAAATTTTACAGCTGGGAATTAGCATTGTACTATAAGTCTGTAAACACCAACTGGCCATCAAGGTAAAACATTATTGTGGAACCATGCATATAAATATTAAAAACTGTAAATGAACAGAATGAACAATGTATAAAAGCTTACTGAAGGAGGTTTGTAAATACTAAAAAGCTAATATTTTCTGATGAAAAGGACTGATTAATAATGTACAATCCAAAGGAATGCTTTCTTTTCGTCAAGTGCTCATTTAGCTTTAAAATCAAGTTACCTTCTAGATTACTAGATCATCAGTAGGAAGACGATCAACATCTCTTGAATATCACTCTTTACGTACATTACTTATATGTTAAAACAGCACCTCAATAATTTCACATTACAGGCAAACATATATATATAATAAACATGAGAAAAATCCAGACCTTTCAAGGACAAAATATTTTTACATTTTTTGTGTCCCATTTTACAAACCAAAAAAAAAAAAAAGTTTCACCAATTTGATTGTTTAGATTATAATGGAGTTCATTCTTGTCTCACTGATGAAGTAATTATGACTTAATCAGAATTCATAGTACAGTATTCTTTCAATTCTCCTTTTGTTTAAGAAACAGTAGTTCACACTTTCCTAATGTCCAAATTTGATTTTTGGTATCTAAAAATACCTGCTAACATGCAAAGGAAGTAATGATTTAGGTGAAAATCAGGGTTTCATAAGCATTACTTTTTTTCTTCCTTGGTTTCACTTGGTGGCAATCTGTAACACTGACTTGCGTAGATCGATAGTTCGAAACTGCAGTTCCCACTCTGTCGTGATATGAAGTTTGTTATCTAATGTTTTCATTTTACATGATTTTTTTAATATTAACAGTTTTTAACTTCAGAAGCACTACAAACAGTTTTCAAAATCATCACTGGCAGGTTCACAATAAAAATTTTTAAGCATCACTGTTATTATTAAGAGTAAAATATTCCTTGATTTCTTATATGATTTGTTTTCATTTTTTTGCTTCAACAAAGTTCTGAATCCATTAATCTAACTAAGAGAGAAGTTGAAATGCCACTGAAGCTAATGAGTTTTCTCAATCATTCTTTAAGCAGCATTTTCAAGTAGCAGGATGTTCCTGAACAATTTATCACCAGTTAAAATACAGAGAGAGAGAGAGACAGATGGTTTTTATCCAGTATCCAACCTTGACTTATGATGTTTCATCAGAGCATACACCCATTCCAACATTTTACTGAAATGCTGGTTTTTAAGGCTCAAGTTACTGTCTATCGCAGAAGTTGACCTGTTAGTCTTAACTCTGTTCGTCGTATTTTAGAAATCAGCCCAAAACTAACTCATAAACAATTCTTTGAAGATCACCCGCAATGCAAAAACTATTAATGGTAAAAATGTCTTACCAGATAGAACAACACCATACTATCAAAAATCTTCCCAAGAGTGATGAAAAATCTTTGTATTTCTAGTGACTTTTTGCTGCTTCTTTTGCTGCCACTATGAGTGGATGTAAACTTGCTAAAGGTCGTGCAAGCTTCAGAAATGGGTGCTATAAAGAAAAATCTCAATTTCATAGGAGGAATGGACAAAAACATTAAAACCCCATACTTCTTCTAATAAATACAATGTAAAAGAACTTCAACACTACCCATGAAAGCTAAATATTATAATTACCTTCTGAATAGTTGTACATAACGAATTTTACATGCAGGTTTTCTTTACCTCGAAACCTATCTAAGCAGATACTTCTGAAAGTACAATTCTCATCTAGTGCCTAGTGATGATACAGATTTTATTTCATGTGAGATTATGTGATTTAATTTTACAACTTACTAAACCAAGAAAAAGAAAACCTGAATGTAAAATTAGTTGGAAACTAAACAGCTTTAAACTATTTCAAAATGATGTATAAGTTGTGTGTGTGTGTGCACGTGTATGTATACATCCAAAAACTACAACAAGTCATATAAAGCTTTATAATCATTACTTGTAGTGGCAGAATTCTTTAACAGCTGCTCATTACTTGTACTAAGAGAACTCTTTAACAGCTGCCAGTTCTTCAGGTTTCAGATTTGAGGATATCCTGCATGTTTTCATGGTTACAGAAGGTTGAAAGTACAAAGTATTTAACTTAGCAAACAGTTCTTGTGTTTGCTCAGAAGTACTTTTGGAAAACGTAGATAAACATTTAATGTTCCAATACAAGGATCACCCGCCCAGACAATAGAAACTGAGTTGTTATTCTCAACCAAGCTGACTATGTTTAAAAAAATCCTTGACATTCTTATAAACTTATAAATGGAGAACCATTGTACCATACTTTACATTTTGAAAGTTGTAAGCAATTTTGTTTTAAATAATTAAAAATGTTTGTAGCTAAAACAAAATATAAAAATTTTAGTAATTGTTTGGTAACCACTAAATTCATCATGCTATAAACTTATTTTATATTGCTCAATACATGTTGAAACCCAAACTGGTACATTTATAAAAATTTCCCTTTCTAATGTTTTAGATTGTGGAACTCTGATATGGGAATCTACAATTTCTAACCTCATATTAACAGGAAACAAATGTCTTTACAGTGTAGCATAAAAAAAAAAGCAAGAAAACTACTACACTATGCAATATTTAACCTTCAAACAACTATAGTATTAACAGCACTTAAATGTTCCAATTTCCAACTATAAGTCGGTACATGTTGACAAACTCATACCTTAAGTAATTCACAAGCTGAAAATCGTTTGTCCACATCAACATCCAGGCACTTATCAAGAAAGTCTTGGAAGACTGGTGATAACTTTTCTTTCTCTTTGATTTCAGGTTTTCCATTGGTTGCAATTAAGTAAAGTGCCTGGACACAATAATAAAGTAAAAATTTTAACTAGGAACATCACACTAAATCTAAAATTCCAACAATAATAAAATGTAGAACCATCAAAACTTGGTATACACACATAAATTTCTCACAGCCTAAAAAATAAGTTCTCCAAAAAATCTCTTGCTAATGAATCTTGAAAACCAAAAATAAACTTCTACAAATAGAACACTTTGCAAGTTATACTTGAGGAACTTGTTTAGCTGCAGTATACTTTATGCATTAGAAAGATATTTTGTTTTATTCCAACAAATTGGTAAAAAGCAATTGATAAGAAATAAGGGCACTCTTAATAGAACTGTGTATTTATTATCGGAAATTTGTGTTTCAGATGTAAAATAAGAGGAGTATCAGGATGCTTTACAAGTAATTACAAATTACAGTAGTAAACAAGAAAGAATGAATAAAATCGGTAATTAAAATAATTTCAGCATATTATCCATATAAGGGGCCTCTGATGCTCAAGCAATATCAGTATGATCAATCAGATCTTATTATAAATAGAAAAAAAACTTTCTTGACAATTAAACTTGAAACTAATATTGAAAGGAACAGGTGGTAAAGAATCATAGCAGAATCATTGATATGTGACAAAAACAGGAACCATTTCAGGTAAACGTTCAGCAAGAAGAATTATGTGGGTCGAGTTTGAAGGTTCAATTGTCTTCAAGAAAAAAAAAAAAGTTCCCCATAGTTTTCTACAGGCTTCTATTTATTGTACACACTTTGTTTACAAGTGAAATTAAACATACTTTATTGAACTGAAACTAAATATATGCAATAATCTAATTATTTTAAACTGATTATACGTGTTTGTTTTCTCATTTTTGACCACTTTGAGAATATAATACATTAATTGTTCAAAATGTAATAGTTGTTTTGTGTCTCAGTAGAAAACTAATAATATAAAATCTTGAAACATTTAACAATGAAAAGATTAGTTTCTTATATTTGATATAAACTTTTTCAAAACAAAACAGAATATGATAGGTGCAAAATTTATGAATAACATCTTGTTCACATTTTGACTTTTGTAATCCAATTTCAATATTTTCAACTTGCTATAGAGTATAATGTTATGAGATATTTCTTAAACTTTTTAAAGCAGTAACAAATGAAACAGGAGGGAATCCTCAACAGCTGTGGCATTTGAAATTCTTTAGGGCAGGATTAGAGTAAATCAATCTATGAGCCCTTTTTTCCTTATTTATTAGCTATATTTTTGTATGCCATCAATACCAAGCATGGGATGCAGTATACCAAATTCAATTTTGTTACTCATCAGGATCTCTACCTACCTACCCTCAAATTGAAATTCTTTAAAGCAGGATTAGAATAAATTAATCTATGAGACATTTGGTGTGGTCAAATATATCAATTGAAAGGGTCTGACTTCCTGAGTCCAAAACTGTAATTACATCTCAAATCGGTCAAGAGATGACGGAGGTATGAGCTAAAAGTTTGTACTTGAAAAAAAACAAAAGAAAAACAACTCAGAACCATTCCATGAGCCGCAGATAAAAACTAGATGATCTCTATATGATATCATCAAACCTACTCTTAATTTATAATGATGTTAACTTTTAACTGTTTTCAGACACATCTACTCTACTTAATTGAAAACAGATAGCTTAAAACCTATAACAAGCCTCCTAAATAAATTTATATCTTAATTCAACTTCATTTCAATAAAAGCAAAATTCAGAAAGGTTTCTATTAATTTTTTTTCACACAGAACTGAGAGAATACATAATCAATTGACTTACAGCAAAACAAAAGTTCCTTACCTCTTTGTCAATTTCTTCAAACATAATCTTAAAAAAAGGTATCTCGTAGAAACATAATCCATCAAATAACATACTTTAGTTATAATGATGTACAAATTTTAGTTTTTACTTTCACTTTAAAGCTTCTTTCTTAGAATATTATTTACATTAACATGAAAGACATGAATTGTAGCTACATATTTTTCAAACTGATCAGTTACCCTAAGGGGGTTTTCATTGAGGTAAGGAGGTTCTCCTTCAATCATTTCTATAGCCATGATACCAAGTGACCAGATGTCAACTTTAGGACCATACTGCTTGCGAGTTACAACTTCAGGAGCCATCCAGTATGGAGTGCCAACCATTGTTGTCCTTTTACTTTGTTCAGGAGAGATCTGAGCACAAAACCCAAAATCAGCTGGAAATAAACCAAAAAGAATGTTAAGATTGGATAAAGTAGTAAACACTTCTTGAAGCTGTATAATGAATTCCTAGACAAATACAGATGTTGTAATTACAGGTATGAATCCTTCCTTTTCTTGTGATGTTTACATTCAAATCAAATGTCAATACAAAAGTAACTGACAATGCTGATTTTCCCCCATTCTTTAGTTGTCTAGAAGTCAGGATACCTAATTTGGAAGGTACCTTTAAACATACTCTTAAAGATATCCAAGCTGAAAAGGAGAACAGAAACCTTTCTTGTCAACACTCCACATTGGTGGTGGACACTATGGAACACAGTTACACCCTCAATACTTTAGGTGCATCATACAATATTTTTGATCTGGCTTTAAAGGATACAAATTACAAGGCTCCTTTAACAGAGAAAAATAAATGTCTACTCAAAACATTAACTGTACAATGTTATATGTACAAAACATATATTCTCAGGCATACAGTTGGTTACACTCTTCTATGTTAGTTAACATTCATGAACTTTTTAGTATTATACCTTACTCACTTTTTAATTTAAAAGTAAATATTAAAAAACACAGTTAAACATTGATTTTTGTGTGTCA